ACAGAATTAGAAATTTATTGATGTTTCATTACACACTGGACAGCTACTAGACAGATTTAATATTTATTGCTCTCAATAAAACAAGTATCTTGGAGAAATTATAAACCTCAGCTTTATAATGAAACAAACTTTATTTCCCTGAAACCAAAAAAAAAAAAAAAAAAAAAAAAAAAAAAAAAAAAAAAAAGAGAAAAAGAAATACTTAAAAAATGATTGGGTAGGGGTGATTTTGATGGATCTTTTGGAGTACATGAAACAAATCATTCTTAGCTCACCTGAGCCAATGGCTCAAGTGAGCTTTTCTGATCAAAATTTGTCTGTCGCCGTCATTGTCGTAAACTTTTCACATTTGAATCTTCTTCTCAAGAACCACTGTGCCAATTTCAATCAAACTTGCTACAAAGTATCCTTGGGTAAAGGGGATTCAACTTTATTCAATGAAGGGCCATATCTTCTTCTAAGGGGAGATAATTACAAATAAATGAAAAATTAATGGCATCATTTAAAAATCTTTTCTGGAACCACTGGGCCAGGAAAAATTAAACTTATTTGGAAACATCCTCAGGAAGTGTAGATCCAATTTTTTTTTAAATCATGACCCCCGGGTGTAGGGTGGGGCCACAATGGATGATCAAGTTTTACATATGAATACATAGGATAAAATCTTTAAAAATCTTCTTCACTAGAACCACTGTATCAGGAAAGATAAAGCCTATGTTGAAACATCCTCAGCTTGTGTAAATTCAAGTTTGTTCAAATCATGACCCATGGGGTAGGACGGGGCCACAACAAACGATCAAAGTACATAGGAAAAATCTAAGAAATTCTTCTATTCAAGAACAGCAAAGCCATGATTTGTCATATTTATATGGTGGCATCTTCAGGTAGTGTAGATGCAAGTTTGTTCAAATCATGACCCCCCAGGGTTAGGGTTGGGCCACAATGGGCGATCAACGTTTTACATATCAATACTGATACATAGAAAAGATCTTTAAAATTCTTCTCAAGACCAATATCGTCAAAATTGATCATAATAGTATAAAAGCAGCCTGAAGTCATGTAGATTCAATTTATTCAAATCATGACCCCCCCCCCCTCCCCAGCAGAATAAAGGGGCCATAACAAGGGATCATAGTTAAACTTATACAGTAAAACTCGTTTAGTACGAACATGGATGTTGCGAATTCACAGATATAGCGAAGTTTTCTTGGATCCCCAGCTAAACAAATTTTACTAATTCCTTATACGTATAAAAGGAATTACAGATATAGCAAAGTAATTTCACAGGTCCCAGTGACTTCGTGATAACCGAGTTTTACTGTACAAAGGATATATCAATAAAAATTTTCTTCTTAAGAACAGCAATGCTAATATGTGTTATATTAAATCAAAAGCAAATTAGAAAGTGTAGAATTCATACACCCCCTCCCTCCCCCCCCCCCCTTCCAAACCACTTTTATATTTAAACTTTTTAATACTGAACTGAATTATGCTTTTTCCTACCCAAAGTGCTCAGGTGAGCAATGTGGCCCCTGAGACTCTTGTTTATTGTTGGTCTAATAAGTGAAATCAGAATGCAATAGTAACTGTACATAATATATTCTTTCAGAGAGAAGAAAACTGACATTAAAGGAGAACCAGTAACTAAAGATGTATGATGAATCAAGATGTGATCATGTGGTAAGTGGTAATTAATTCAATCATAAATAGGCATGTATGACAATTGCATTAAAAGAAAAGAACTTGATTCCAATTTATTAACTGGAATGTTGAACTACCAGCTGCAAACTACAACAGGTTAGGCATAATAAAAAAAAATATGTTTGTTGACGGTTACCCGACCGACCCTATATCTAATAGACTAATACCCAACCCAAATTTTTTTTCGTCATAAAAATCCAGAAGCCACTCATTTGTCGGTTTAACTTTTACATGCATCTTAATCGGTCAAGCATTTGAAATCGAAAGTACTAGAAATAGTTAGTGCAACATGGAATTAAAGAAGAAATACAAGACAGTTTTTTCATTGTGTGGTAGCTGTAAGGCAGTTGGCAAGAAAGATATTGTCTATCGCCCATATGGCAAGCCTAAACAAAATTAAAGCACCACACAATGGTAAAACTGCTTTGTATTTCAACCAATTCCTGTGAATTTGTGTATAAAAATATTCAATAAAATAAATAAAATCCTACCTATCGACTCTTTTTTATTTCAGCATGTAACAGTAAACAAACATATTTTTTTGTTTGGCCTAATGAAATAGTATGGCTTGGAGTCTTTTTTCACTGCTCTATAAAATGTTCTGTTTGGATGATATCTAGTATAATTTACACCATGCAGTGAGGATTTTAGTTCACCCTAGCTAAAAACTGAAGTGAACTTTTCTGATCACCTTTTGTTTTGTCTTTTGTCCATCAAACTGTCTATCCATCTGTGAGCTTTTCACACTTTCAACTTCTTCTCAAGAACCACTAATTTCAACCAAGGTTGACACAAAGTAAGGATATTTTAAATTGTACAGAGGAACCTCCCCCCCCCCCTTCACCCCAAGGGGAAATGATCAACTCTTATAGATATTATTGATATGATAATTGTTGAGCAACTTATAATTTTGTTACCTGTAGACTTTATTATTTTTAAGAATAATGAATATTTGTTTAAGAGTCCCTTTGAGATACATGTATTTGAGGATTCAAGATATCAGGAGTAAAATATTTAAAGAATACTTCCAAATTACTTCGACATATCTATGGTATTCGAGATGTCTGTGTTCGAGATGCCAAAGTTCAACTGTATGGCTATATGCTAAAGTAGTAGATATTTAACTTACTAAAACTTTCTAACATTGAAACATGTTAAATGAAACAAGACAATAATGAAAAATAAAAATTTACTGATTTCTGGCTGGTCAGTATTTTGATGACTGTAATTTCTAAAATATTCAATGAAACACTTTGAAGCTTTAACTGTAGGTATATGTTAACTTAATATACTATAAGGTAATATTTATAAATGAGAAGTTTTGATTAAACATTACAACATGCAGGTATGTAAATTGGGGGTAAAAATTGGTTAATGGCTATCGCCTTAATTTTCAGTGACATAAAACAAGATTTAAAATGTAGTTAAATAATACTAGTATGTGTCTGTACATATGATATAGCATATAGAACTTGTACTGAATGTTGATAAGCTAAATCTTGAATGGCTGATATGTTGGTCGTTTTTGATGAAATTTAGATTATTTGTATGTAAATATGCAATATGAAATTATTCATAAGTTAAGGTATTAAACATGATTAAAGCATGTGTATGCAATGCAACATATGATTGAATCATATTCATCATTATGATGAATTCATGTTGACTTGTATGGATATTACTTAACATGTATGTGCATTGTTTTTTTTTAGGGTCCTGTTCTGCATATGCCATGAGATGATCTGTCTGTCCATCTGATATCACTTGTCCTGAGTATATTTTCTCTCCTCTTAGCCCAATCTCACTCAAATTTAACTCATAGAGTGCCCGTGGATGGAGGGTAAAAAGTGACCTTGGACCAATTATCTAGGTCAAAGGTCAGTATCAAAATACACTATATATCTTTATTTAGAGTCCGTGTCCAGAGCATAATTTTTCTCCCTTGGTATGATCTGGCTTGTGTGCCATGGGAATATGATGGGATGAAGGGTTTTTAGTGATCTTTAACAAAATTTCTAGGTCAAATGTCAATTAATAAGAAAAAAAAAAAGATTCGTAATATCCTTTTCCAGAGCACATTTCTCTCCACTCAACCAAAAGCAGTGTTCTACATGTATGAGATGGTCATATTCTCAATCATACCTGCTTTAATATTAATCTGGCTTAAAACCTTACTATGTAATGTTCATTATTCAGATTTTATGGTCATTAAATTTAAAGACTGAAACTAATCAGTGATATTGGTACATTAAAGGACATTGAGTGATCTTGTCAGATTTCTAAATAATATTCAAGCATACAATTCTTACATCAAATAATAATTTTGTATGAAAATATATTGCAGATCGCAGATGATGTGAAGAAAATAGAAAGGAAGCTGATGTTGAAAGAAGTATAGAGTATTAAATGAAGTTTATGAATGGACTTAGATGTGAAAGACTACTTCATTGTTTACCCAGATATATGATTTTATTTTTGATATCATTTTCAAATAATGTTTTTGCACATCAAATGAATTATTAAACATATGATTTGATAATGCTTTTTCCTTTTTATACATTTTCTTGATAGATTTTGAAAAGAAAACACAGTTTACCAAGGAAATTAATAATATATATTTTGATTTAAACCTGCTGTTCTCTTTTCATATTCTAGACAAGAAGGATTTACCATGGAAAATACAGGGATCCTTGAGCTTCCAGTTGCTTGTCAATCATTTTTCGAAATTGAAACGCTCAACCTACCCTGTAATTTCCATGGTATGGAAACTATTACACCACAATTACACATTGCTTCCCGTCTCAGATAAATAAGGGAATCTTGAAGTGTCCCTGTAATTTCCTTTTATGAGACACCAGATAATTCCACCAAGTTTCCATCACACGGAAACTGCTACGCTCGGATTCCATGTAGTTTCCTGAGTCATGGAAACTTGAGGAATCATGAGGTTTCCTCTAGTTTCCATTCATGGGAAATCTGAGGATTCCATCGAGTTTCCATTCCATGGAAACCACTACGCTCCGATTCCACATAGTTTCCTAGTTATGGAAACCAGTGGAATCTTCAGGTTTCCCATTATGGGAAACTACATGGAGGCTCGGGAAACTTCAGGTTTCCTGAGGTTTCCATGGTTCGGGATACCTAATGGAATCGGAGCGTAGTAGTTTCCGTGGTACGGAAACTTGACGGAATAACCTGGCATCCGCTGCGGAAACCACTAGGAAACATGATGTAATCTTGAGGTTTCCATGTGGTTTCCATATAGTTTCCCATGACGGGAAACTGCTTTTTTCACCCAGTGAAATACAAGGGTATTATTTACAGGTTTTTGAATATTCATGAATTATCTTGAAATTTTAAGAATACAGTTGCTGTTGCTTATTCTTCGTACATTTTTTAATCATTCCATAAGCTGCACCCTTATAATTCTACCCCATGGCGGGGCCCTTGCTGACTGGTCAGTTTTCTAGTCATAAAATAGAAACGACATTATATGATCACCCGGCGCCGGCGCCTTTTAGTCTTATGACGTCCGACAACGTCATTATTTTTCAATGTCTGCTTCTTCTACCTCATACACTTATTTTGATGGGGTTTCCTGGAGCTGAGTAAGGACTTCAATCCATCTTGTTTATATGACTTTACAATGCCATGAACAGCGGCTTCAATGCATACTATTGCAAATGGATTTATACCATGGCAGAGATCCTCGCTTGATTGTGGCAGCATATTTTCTTTTTGGAATTAAATATCTACAACACATGATCGTCATTTTTGACGTGATTGATTTTTCATACCTTGACTACAAATAGGCTTTAACTGTGCTTTCCTTTTCTCTCTGAATCTATTTAGGCATTAAAAACAAGTAATCTGGGTGCATCTTATTTCTCCTTAACCAGTTTAAACATTTCCTAGGTGTATACCAGTTTTTCCAGAGGCAAAACTTTATAGAATGTTGGAAGAGGAAACCCCTTCCCCCGTTTGATGTCATGCTCCTCACTGGCTGGAATTGTATGAATTTTTATACCCCCATAAACAAAGTTTTGGGGGTATATAGTTTTTGTCGTGTCCGTCCGTCTGTCTGTTTGTCTGCAAAAACTTGGAGCTATGGCATTCATATTTCACATGTGTATTCCTTGTGACAAGACCTTTCTTTGGGTACCACCAAATTTGACCTTTTAACCTTGACCTTGGAGTTTGACCAACTTTAACACCAAATAATTTGAACTTTTACTTTTTTCATATCTATTGAACAGTAGATAACAAGACAATTAAACTTGACATATTTATTTTTGTAATAAGACCTTTCATTGGATACAAACAAATTTGACCTTTTGACCTTTCTGTACTTATGAAAAAACTAACTTTGGCTAAATTTGGAACGGTAAGTGCGAGGGCTTTCATACTTCACATATGCAATCCCTGTAAAAAGACGCTTTATTGGGTATTAAGAACCTTGACCCATTGACCTTGATCTTAAGTTTGACCTACATTAAAATACAACCTTGAACATAGTTTTTGAAGGGTTAAAACTAGGGCTTTCATACTTCACATATTAAATCCTTTCATTTGATATCTAGTATCTTGATTCTTTTGACCTTGACCTTGGAGTTTGACCCATTTTAACACAAATTCTAAACTTTTCTTTTGGCCCTAATTTTTAAACAGTTAGCTAGTAGAAATTTCATATTTCAAATATCGATTCTTTTCTGGCAAGACCTTTCATTTGAAACCAACAATTTTGACCTTTTGACCTTGAATTTGGAGATTCCCAAACTTTAACCTTGGCCATAACATATGAACAGTAAGGACTAGAGCTTTCATGTTTCACATATGTAATCCTTGTGACAAGACCTTTCCTTGGATATCAAGAACCTTGACCCTTTGACCTTGGAATAAATTTACTTTTTACAAACCTGAACCTTGGCCATCCCTTTTGAACGGTAAGGGCCAGCGCTTTCATACTGCTCTATTTATCATTCGATTTTATATGCCTCATTTCCGGGAAGATAACTCTGCACTTGACAGAAAAATGTTCAGTTTCTTAACATATCAAAACATGTGTTAAGGTCAGACGAAACGTTCCTCAAAACCTGTTTTGTATATCTTCGTAATGTATGAAAAATATTCAAAATTTTAATAACATTCTCATTTCTAAACCAGTTTCTAAACGTTTTTTTTTTAAATCGAAACACTTAAACATTTGAAATGGGAGGGATTTTTCCCAAAAGGATTATATAAGAAAAACTACCCCTGGTATCTTGCAGAAAAGCCTGGTAAGGTACCTCAATGTTTTGTTAGTAAACATGTTTAAGTAGCAATACTTCAATGACAAACTCTTGGGAAAAAAATATATTATTAAGGAACGTCCCGTCTGTCCTTAAATCTAACATCATTTAGATATAACACACGTTTAGACATAAGTGTTTAGCCGTTAAACACAATCTTATATGAAATGACATATACATGTTTAGGTCTAAACAGTTGACGGAAGTGTTTATTTTCTAAGCGCATTTTTTTTTTTTACATTGTATGGTTATTTACACAGCGGCCTACTCCCAGCTTGTAATATTTAGTGTTATGTAAATGTTTTTTTAAAATAAATAATTGGTTTGAACATATTTTATTGTAATATACTAGTAATTACAAAGGGATTGGGCACAAGTTCTGAAAACTTATAACGCCCTCTTCCTACATGTACATTGTCACAGTTAAACATGCTATATTAATTATTTAGTATTTGCAAAAGTAAACATACATTATTATGTTATAAATATTACACGCAGGGAGCAGGCCCCTTGGTTATTTGTTAAAAGATATAAAGTGAAAAGTATGCACTTTATTTTTTCAGATTTTGCGGCAGCTTTTAAACATTTGTGTTTAGATCAGTACATTTCAGTGGAGTGGGGGTCGGGTGACCGTGGGGGGTCTGCATATATGTACAATCTTTTTGTATTAAATACCTATATGTTCTTATTAGGACTGTATACATTTTTATGGTTAAATTTGAACATTTGCTTTTTTATCCTTGATGTAAATGGAAACAGAGTATCCGAAGCATAATAGACAATAATCATGATAATATAGTACAACATATATTAAAACAACGTTTCTAATATGTGAACAAAAAATGTCAGTGAGCATCCATAATACATGATGTATAACATAGTACAAGAGATATCAGAATAAATTTGCTTTACAATATATGTCCGGAGATAACGCAATTTTTTTTTAAGTATAAAAAAAATATCTTATAATTATCTATTTCTGTTCCAATACTAACTGTGGGATTTTGAAGTATTTCGTCATGCTTTGAGCCTGTATGATTAACAGTAGAAACTGAAAAATAATTTTTGGAATAGTTCTGTTAGCAATAAGAAAAAATCCATTTCGTATGCACTATGTATGCCATCGTCGGTGTATGTACCGGTATGTATTTTATTATTCGATATATAATCCTTGTTATATAATCCTCTACACTTATTTTGTAGGTATAACCGTAAAAATACATAAAATAAATTAGCATACCTGTTTTATTAACTGAACTCCATATGAATTTCACAAAACATTCACTAGCGTAAATCCTAGTTTCGTGGAAACTGGAAACTGTTTACTCGGCATTTTCGCAAGCCAAGGGTTTTCGGTCCGCTACACTCCCCACAAGAAATGTTTGCGGGGTGTGTAGCGGACCGAAAACCCTTGGCTTGTGAAGATATGTTTACTCGGTAGGTCTACTTCAGTTTTAATCAACAAAATCTCTTGAATCCAGGAGCTTCTGGCTTTGCTCCCTAGGCCCCCACCAGGGCTCCGCCCTTGACCCACTGGGGGCCTCGATCAACCCCCTGCCTACTTTTGACGCCCCCTCTAATTGGATCCGCGCCTGAATACCCAAGTTACTTGACATATGACGTCATCGGTGGTAGATTTTAGTCAGAATGATAGATACAGCATAACAAAGTAAAAACATTTTATTTTTGTTAATGTTTACACGTTTCCATTCATTTTTCAGTGAAATGACAGTTGAATTTGGAAGTTTCAAATCAATTATATTTGGCAACTCGACCTAATGATAATCTTTTTTTTTTTTTTTTTTTTTTTTTTTTTTTTTTGTAAAGCATAGGTCTGACATTTCGGATCAATTGCTTTACAAATGTGTCCGAGTGTTTTGATACAGTCTGGACAATCGACTTTTAGTAATGTTATATCTCAGAGGTTGTACAGATGTTATTTTATCTTTTGGTTCGAATAGCCTTTGGGTAGAACTGTCAACAATAAACACCCCTATTCGGCACACCTCGGCCAATTAGAATTATTGGGTTGCGTCGATTTACCAAAAAGAACCCAAAAGGAACCCAAAAAGAATACAAAAGGAAATTAAAAGGACTCAAATTAATATATTATGATATATTGAAAGTTAATAATTTGAATTAGATTATGAATATTATATTATAAGTTAACCTAAAAGTAGGCAAAAACATACAGTTTGTACATTCATATTGTTGTCTGACGTCACGAAATAACTTAGGACTTTTATAGGACATCAAACATTAAATCTGGTCAGATATACATGTATACTTTTATTTCTTATACTAGCTGAAATTAACTAAGTATTACTCTATTTCTCCTTCTGTTTTAGCATATCTTACTATAAGATATTTAATAAATGAAGAAATAAGTTTTATTTTATGACATGTTCTAGGCTTATGGTATCGGGGATTGATGGGATGGGATCGGTGGGGGACCTCCCACCCCCACCCCAATCACACACTTTCCCCTCAAAATATACTTTTAGTTTCAATAAAATATGAAAGTGTTTATTATATATCCATTATTCTCTTGATTTCTTTGAAAGTCCTTTTGGGTCGTTCTTAATGTCCTTTTCGGTCCTTTTGGGTTGCAAACGTATTCCTTGTGGCAAGACCTTTCATTGATAACAATTACCATAACCTTTTGACCTTGACCTGGGAGATGTTCGTTCTTATGAAAAAAACTTAAACCTTGGCTATAACTTTCGAACGCTAAGGGCTAGTGATCTCAATGTATATTATAAATGTAATCCTTGTGAAAAGACCCTTTATTGGATATCAAGATTTCCAAACTGATGAAAATGATTTACCCTGGCATGATTTCATATTTCAGATCTGTATTTCCAGTGAGTTTGCATTTAAGAAAAGTTTTATTTTCGCTAATTTTTTTACCATACAGGGTCATCAGTATTTCACAAACACATATGTTTTTCCAGAAAATTTCAATCATATTTGTTGTCTGGATAAGAGAACTAAAAATAAAATCTTGTCCTGAAATGTAAAAATTACATGCAAATTTATGCTGACTTCAGA